TTAACTAATATGTGATTTCAGAAAGGTGATTGGACTGCTGAAGAAGATGAAAGATTGGTTGCAGCCCACAAAATTTTTGGCAACAAATGGGTCGATATCGCTGAGCAACTTCCTGGACGAAGCGAAAATACTATTAAGAACCATTGGAACACCACAAAGCGTCGGGTGCATTTGATGAAAACTAAGGGTGGTGGTGAAAATGCAAATCCACCCCGCAACATCTTGGAGAACTACATAATTCATGTCGTAATCAACAATGCTCCTCCCAAGACCTTTGGAATTACATACACTAAGGATGATTATGACTATGAAAGTATTTCTGATGGGGAGATGAATCTAAGCATGAACGATACGACAAAAACCACTGAACGATTGGTTGATGCATCTACATCATCAGATTATGTTTCGGAACCAACGGTGTTTTCATGGGAGAATTATTTTACAAAGGTTTGTGAATCCATGGATGAGACTCATAAACTCATGCAAGGATGGGAATGATTTTACGGTGAAGGAAAGTTATCTGCTTGTTTCCTCATTGTCATATGTGAGGTAATATATCTATCTATATATATTTTACCAGACATATAATATGCATGTTATGTTGTGTATTATTTTGGATGAGAGACCAAGTATTTTTTTTTCAGATATTTCTTTTAATAATACATTTTCATTTTACAATTGATATGCATATTTAAATCTTATATTAAACTAAATTTCATATTTGTTTTTATACGTATAAGAGAAAGTAAGGGTTTTGGATCAACATCTTCTCTAAAATAATTTTCTGCTACTTATTGGCACCAACATTACTTTATGTAAGCCAATAATAATGGTTTTGAACAGTAGAAAACTGCAAGATCATGATTTGATATAAAAACTTTGTGCAATGTGGAACAAATGGTGAGACAAAATTTTGAAATTCCAATTTGAAGTTAAAAAGGTGCAATCACAATGTGGTGCAAAGATTATGTAGTCATATCTGAATGATAGATTATAGTCATTATGAATTACTCATGATTTCGTATTTCTCTATAAATAGAAAGCATTCTTTCTTGTACACACAAGAACAACACAAACAAATATATAAGAAACAAACCATTATTCTCTCCAAATCCTTTCTTTTTTGGGTGATTTTGGTGTATAACCAAAAAAAAAATATATTAAAGAGTAAGTAAAAGTGGGGTATGTGACAAAATCATGACTATTGGATTTGAAGTTTTTGGTTACTTTTTAAGTTAAAAATTTTTTTGTTGTATTTTCAGCAAATTATCCTTTTTTTTTTTTAAAATCACATCTCTCCAAGTCTTTTCTTATGTTCTTTAATCTTTATATCTTCTGATTTTTAGTTTGATTAGAGAAGAACATACTTTTAGAATCTATCCCCGGTCTCATGTCTGAAAACAGAATCTTACTGTAATTACTACAAATATCAGTGAATATCAACAAGTTAATAATTACACATTTTTTACACTAGATAACAACATTTTTTCTCATGTTTGTTTTACAATCTTAGGTTGTAATATAAAGCTCTTGCTTAGCTATAAAATATTTTCCAATAAGATCACTAGATTCCACCACAAACTGTTCTTGAAATCGACCCACGCGTCTGCTTCCGATATCGAACCCGAGATCTTTGAAACTCGGGAGCCCTTCTGCTTGAACCCCATCACCACATATCAGAAACTGATTTCCTACAATAAACGATCCAATTGCGCGAATCATGACTCCACCATTGCCATGTGGCTTACAGTGGAGCTTCTCAACGACATGAACGAGTTTCTCGCTTGGTAAATCTCCTGCTAATGTGCTACGAATGTTTGATAATGCTGAGAAGATTTCCGTTGCTCCTGTGTAATGCTTTCCAGAGAAACTGCAAAAAAGTATTCAAATTTTGTAAATTTTATGGCATTAAATTTTGTAAGATCAAACCGAACCAAAAATCAAACTGAATTACAAATAGTTTTATATGCTTTCAGTTATTATACAGCTGATAAACCGGGAACAAAAAACAATTGTCCCGAAACCAAACAAAACCGTGAATCGGATTGCACAACTCTTATGATATTGATAGGTTTTGTAATCAAGATTTAATTACCTGAAGACGGAAGTGGTTTCAGTGTAGAGCGATTTTGCGTGGTGCCAAAGATCATCAAATCCATCAAAGAGGGAGTAGTAATGGATTGTGAGCATCTAACAAAACCCAATAAGATTATTCATGTTAAGTTTAATTTGTCATTTACTAACTACGCAAAAGTATTAAACCATCATTACTTACATCTGCTATATCTTTCAATCTCTGAGTTGGATCAAAGATGCTTTGAACAAAACTCGCCAAATCTACTCTTTCCTTCTCGTGTTTTGTAATAAAAGGATGTGACAGAAGCTGTTCAAGAAACAGAGGAAACACCATCAGAATTGAATCTTAGTCAGTGCATAACACAGAGACAGAGGAAATAACAGTCGAATACAAAGAAAAGCACCAAAACTTTTAGCCCGAATCTTGCTTTAAAACAGTTATATACAAAGGAAAGCACCAAACTTTTAGCTAAATCTTGCAATAAAACAGAGAAAGACAGAGCAAACCACCAAAATGTTAACCAGATCTTGTTTTAAACCGCTGGATTTTCCAGTAAAGTACTGAGCCTGTAAAGTTATGGCATTTCAAGTGACCAACCTGATCAGCTGTTGGTCTAGCATCTGCATTTTTCTGGAGACAAGCATCAATGAAAGAACAGAACTCCGGCGAAAATTCTTGTTTCGATGGTGTCGGTGATGGATCATCCAAGATCTTCCAATCACATAACACAAATGAAGACAGAAATTTAATATATATTATAAATCGTATATCTGAAAAAAGATTTGGGCCAAGTTGAGTTTACCTGCAACATAAGATTAACTGGCCCTTCATTAGCAATATACGGAAACTCTCCAGTGCCGCATTCGAAAAGAGCGAGACCAAGGCTCCATATATCCGCTGGATAAGAATAACCATCGTTCCTAATCCGCTCTGGTGACATGTAGGTGACAGTTCCAACAAAAGTAGCACACTTTGCAACCACCATTTTCAGATAATACAAGTTAGAAACTCGTAAAAGAACGATTGTATCCACAAGGTTAAAGCACGAGATTTCATCACTCACCATAGCCATTGAATTCTCGAGACCAGCACTTATGCCAAAATCAGTTATCTTTGGTTCCCCTTTAAGATTTACAAGCAGATTTGCAGGTTTAATGTCTCTATGAACAAGATGTCTAACTCCATGCAAGTAGCTCAATCCCTTGTAACGAAATCGCATCAACCAAGAAGGAATTCATATACACATAACATAAAAAAAAATCACATTCGAGGGAGTTAAAAGTATCTTTACTTGCAAAAGTTTGTGAAACATCGATGAAAGAACAGGCTCAGGTATCTTCTTTGTTACTTTTAAGATATCTGCAAGAGATCCTCCATCCATATATTCAAGAGCTATGCTGATTTGTCCCGAGTCCGGACTATAAAACGCTCCGTGAAAATCCACAAGTCCTTCATGACAAGGAGCTTCACACAACGTCCGTATCTCCGTAAGCAATTGCTGTCTTTTCTCCTGCTCTCACCAAATCACTAACATAATTCAAAGAACCATACCAAAAATGTAATCAAGAACAGTTACAACAATTACCCTTTCGAAGATATTAATCTTCTTCAAAGCTAGAATTCTATGATTCGGGATATGAATAGCGCGTTGAACAACGCTGCTAGCACCGCTACCTATCGCTCCGAAAACCCGCATTTCATGAGAAGCACATTTATAGGTAGTCTCACAACTCTCAGACTCATCGACATGAGAAGATGTACATTTTTGTAACCCGAGCTCGTTAAAGTTGTAAACTCCATATGATCTACTAAGCAAATTAACAGTTCCACCATCTGATAACTTTTACAAAAATAGAAACCATTAAAAACATAATAAAACTTGTTCATTTACAAAATCACAAGAAAAAACTTACTAAATATGAATCGTTTGGATCTAAAGATGACGACGAAGAAAGACCCTTTTCGGCATCAAACAATGGAGAAAGCTTCTTCTTTAACTCCTCTAATGCCGCCATTAAAGCTACCTCTTCACCGACACAGGGGACGACAACATTCGATCACTACAGATGATTGTCGGAAACAAAATCAGTAGAACCAGACCTTGACTTCGACTCGAGTGTTGGCCAAACTTGGACTGAATTCGAATCAAAGCTACTTCAGTTATGGTTCCAGGGAGCTTAGGCAGTAACTCTATCTCCGATTCTCCTATCGATCTTGCAACAAATAGGGTTCCGACTTCTGAAGAATCCTCAATTCTTCATCGACATTTCGTCACCTGTTCAATAACTTTTTGGTTGGTTTGGTGGTTGGTACGGACATAGAGAATTGGGACCGGTTTGATGATCTCTACTTCTGGTTTGGTTCGATTGATGATCTCTACTTCTGGTTTGGTTCGACTATGATTA